CAAAACCACAAAGTTTTGGTAAGTGGCTCCAGTGTCATGTGGTGAATAGAGGAATTTTGAAGTTTTATATGAAGAAGAGGAAGGAGAAATTCCTGCTGTTGTTTTCATGTCAGAAAACAAGATCTGAAGTTACTATTGAAGTATTTGGCTTTTCCTGTTACTGATTTGTATTCACAGGAACTTTCTGTTTATTTTGAAAACTTGCCTTTTCATAATGTGCAATAAATTTTGTAGCACCTATTTGTTGGCAGAAAAGGAAGATAAACCTAATATGTCATAACACAGACAGAAACAGGCGAAGAAGGGTAACCTAAGAATCCATAGTGTGGCACTGAAGTCCTTGCTCTCTCAGGCCACCAAACAGAGCCTTTTTTTTTTTTTTTTTTTTTTTTTTTTTTTTTTTTTTTTTTTTTTTTTTTAATGGGAAAAAATAAAAGGATCTAATTATGATGCCAGCCCCATCACCACCTTCCAGGGACTACAGAATTGACATAACTTGGGCCCACTAACCCAATGCACCATTAGGTTCTGGAGAGCTTTTCCTTTGGCTGATACTGCAATCTGATAAATGTCTTAGAAAGGAGAATTAAATCAGCCTGATCACTTGAATAAAGGTGCTGATGTTGCTGTTTCAGACTGCATTATTTCTGTGTTTCAGGTGTTGCACAGAGATGTAGCTTTTAAATCCTTCTGGAGAAAAATTCTTACACGTTTAGGGCATCTGAATTATATCCTTAGATAAAGCTCACACACGGGCCTTCATGCTGAAAGCACGTATGGATGTGCTGGATTTATGAATTATTGTTCTTTTACTTTTTATGCATCTTTATGCATTTTTTATGCAAACTCTAAAGGTCTAAAATCTAAAATGCTGTTAAGACTAAAAAGTTTGGGCTTATCTGAACTTTTATGGGGTGAAAGTGAAGCTCAAGAGGATCTTGTTTGTTTCTGACACTGTCAGTGTTCAGGAGTTCAGTGAATCCCAAGGGCAATATGACCATCTGACAAACCTTTTAGCCTTTGAATTGATTATTAGAAGTTGGAAGTTAGAAACAGCAAGGCGTGTTTTGGAGAGCCCTATTGCAATCATAGTCTCACTTTTTGAGCTTCCAAGGGTCTTAGCACACCACCCTGGATACTCAAGGATGTTGTTTCCCACGTTTTTGCTACATAATTAGTCTCTAAAACTTTGGGTTTACCAAGGTCACCATGTCAGGACCAGTGTGTTGCAAACACATTCTCCAGAGTGCCTTCTGTCTTCCTGAATATTTTAGCCCTGAGTCATACACAAAGCTGTTCTTCACAAGGGAAAAACACACTCTGAGAGCTTTTCAGTCACAGGTATAGAGAAAATAACCTCCTTTATGCTCATCACTACTGAAAAGTTATTTGCTCAAACAAGTAGTCCTACAACTGAGCTAAATTTGTCAAACAGGGCCTACAACATATACTGATTATAAGAAACTGTGGTTTAAATCAAGACATACAAAAATTTCTTCTATTTTTTCCCCCACAGAAAATAATCAGAAAGAAAGAATCATTGGTGAGTATATGTTTAAGTTTAGAAAAAACTCCATATTATGAGGCAGGGTTCAAGGAGGGTTCAGAAGGTGCCATGGACTTATTATGAAAAGGTTTAGCTTCAGGACACTTGCAGTTTCCACTGCAAATTACTCCACTTTGATGTCTACAACTCCTTTTTTACTTCATTTAGATTAAATATTTTTTTTCAATTGTTTGACAACAGTGGCTAAATAGTGTAAACTGTTAACAATTGCTGTGCTTCAGCCCAGAGCAAACATGTTTTTCAGTAACAGGCAAAACAAGTCTTCCTTTTTCCAAGTTTGAAGTGAACAGCAGGACCAGGTGCTGTGCTGCTCTGACTTGGTAGCATTCCACAGAAGCAGTGAAGCAGCATCAACATGAATCAGTGCAGAATATCTGAAAAACACTTACAGATTCTTCTATTCCCTATACTTTTTCACTAAAGCCTCATGCTCAGACTCCAGTTTCTATTTTTCAAGCTTTTCTGAGCCTTGCTGCAAATCAAACTCTTAAAGCAGGAGCAGTGATTTATGAGTATTTGGAGTTGGCCATCCCAGTCCTGGCTCCATTATTTCCTTTATGTCTTTACTTTGCAAGGAAAAAAATGAAAAGAAGGAATTAAGTGGAGCTGTGCCCAGGTTTGTGTTCCTTATAGTGTGGATAGAACAGCCTTGTTCATCAGTTTCCTGGTTGAGTGCAGTTCAGCTTCCGAGATCTAAAGGCATCTGCATGGCTGCAGACACAACCTGGAAAACCTCGCAGTCAGCCCTCAGAAGGAGGGTGGTAATCCTGAGAACAGCATTTCAGAAAGGAGAGAAGGCATTTGATCACTTTGCAGACTCGTTAAAGCCTGTAGTTAAAATGGCATCCTATTCACAGTGTGCCAAACTGTGGATGCTACATATGGCACTTCTTAAAGCCAGTGGAGCTGTTCGTGTAAGGGCTGCAACACCAGTGCTTGAGAGCTGACTGTGATTTTGAAAGCCAGTATCAGTGTTAACCAAAGCAGGTACTACAGGATGGAGTAAAGAACTTGGCACTTGTTGCTTAGCAGGAGTAAACGCAATACAGACTGGCGTAGGTTACTGCGAGACAGGACCTCCCACTGTTCAAAATAAGGTTGTCTCTTGCATTTCATGAAAACTTAAAAGCAGAGTTGTTACTTCTGTATATTTTGAAATGAGTTCACTAAAAGTTTTAATTTTTCCTCCTCCTCAAATTTATTTTCCTCAGCTCTTCAACATCAAACTCCTGTATACCTCCTCATGGCCATTGTTACACATGTTCCTATAGGGGGGAAAAAACTAAAAACCAACAGCCAGAATCGTTAGTATTCTTCCTCCAAATTCAATTAATTTTAGCTTTTTTTTTATTCTGGTCAAATGTGAGTGAGGCAGTCATGCAAAATATTGCTGTACATATAGTCTCTCATGTCAACGAAATCCTATGTAGACATGGGATCCTACAAGCATTTTGACAATAAATTGATGGTAAAAAGTGTTTTCTAATCCCCGTGAAATAATTTTGTTTATAACAATTCACGTTATCACATCTTTTACCTATAGATTCCTTGTAACAACCTGCTGTCAAAGATAACGGATTTGGATAGTGGCTGAGTATATGTTATAACGTATCTCAGAAGCTTTATTATATCATTTATATGAACTGCCTTTTGGTCTTTATGCCGAGCATTAAGAAAAGAAGGGGAAAAAAAAGAAAAAGAAGAAATAAATATTACTGGAAGGTGAGCACTCTTCAGAAAACCAGGAATCAGGATATGGAAAAGCAATGATGAATCTGCATTACCTGGAATCATGTATAAAAGTGTGAGACTTGCAGGTATTTACTTTGGAAACACTGAGCCCTGTTTTTCAGCTTTTATCTTTGCTACAACAGACTAAACTACAAATAGAGCCAAAACCTGTTATGTTGTGACTCCTAATAATCTGCTTCTTGAAACACCTCCCTGTGTGCCAGTTTATCTAGAGCAGTGTGGATTTTGTCTGGCCGTGCAACAAAGCGATGATAACGCGTGAAGATGCTGTTCCCCCGAATCATTCTGTAACTCCTGTTGCTTCTGCTCTCCTTTTCCCCTGGTGTGCTAACAGCAGTGCTAGCACTGACTTGAAAAGTCACTTAAAGGAGTGCTAGCACTGACTTGAAATGCTGCCTGTGGAAGGGCTGGGTCTGCCCACGAGGTAAAATCAGGCTGGCAGGCAGAATGACAGGGGTTTGAAAACTCTATAGCAAAACTGCACAAGCGACAGGTTCTGGAGGAAGAAAGAACTTACAGAACTAAAACACCACTGTCTGTCCAACACTGTGCCTAAGCCAAACTCAGGAAGGTTATAACTGTACTTCTTGCATCAAAAATCCAAACAAATGATGCAATGAGGAAAAGAGTACTTGAAGTTAAAATGTGCATTTCTCTTCCAAAGGGTAAATATATGCCGGTTATGTTTTGAAGATAAGCATCAATAACTCAGCATTAAGAGCTTAAAGAGTGAAATTTCACCCAAATTACCGATTTTCATAGCCATTCACTTTATTCTAGTCCATTAAATTGACTGCACAAAGACAGATCATTTGATATAACAACACCAGGAATAAATGGTGACAGTAGAATGTTCTTCATAAAACTGATGTATTATGTAACTAAAACAGTATTTATAATACTCATCCTCATATCTACTTGTAGTTAATGCAGGTGAATAATTTTGTCAGTATTAAACAATTCCTCTTCCTTATTTAAACTACAGAGACAACTGAGAGTAAACATCGTTCTGTAAAACGCATAAATATTTTGTTACTTATTTTGTGACTACTTATAGAAGGTCCATTACTAAATGCATTTTTAGAACTAAAGAATTATAAAGATCTTTAGTGTTTAAATAATCTCCTGGAAAAATAATCTGGAAAATTAAATCCCATATTGAGAGAAAAGTCTAAGACTGCAGTTACCCTGCAGTCATCAAAGCAATTATGCTGAAAACTAGAAAAACAGAGTTCACTGTAAACTAGTTAATTCCCTCTAAACTAGTGGAGAAAAAGTTGATTCAGAATGAAAAAAAAAAAAGAAAAAGAAAAAAAAACTGGTCTAAAATGAATTGCTATAATCTATCTATTAATAAATACAATCTGTAAATTAGAACTGTTTTGATCTGGAGAGAGGGACCTTCAAGGGTAATTTCCCAACTGGAGTTCAAGAGCTAAAAATAAAATGTTCAGGCTCTCTTAAGACCTGCCCTCCACGATATTCATTAATGTTGAATTAACAAAGTTCTGTTCAGTTACCAGACTGGTTGGCTGTGATAGTTCCCTTCCATATATTCCAGTGGACATAAAAACAAGCCTTGTCTGTTTTCTCTGAAATGAGGAGCAAATATACGTTCATTGCTGTTGGATGAAAAATCGAAGCCAGGGTCTGCCTGATGAAAAAGTGAAAACAACATTTTGCAGCCTCAGTGTTTAAATCCAGACCTTCAGAGGCAATTAGTATTTGCAGGTTCTGTTAACTAACTGATAATTGTGAAATGTAATTCTAGCAAAGTAAAACCACTTATAGATTAATGATTAACTGACACATCTACAAACAGAGAAAACAACGAGAATTTTATGGTTTTCTCCCCAGTGATTAAACTCTCACTCCTGTTTAACACAGCACCTTATTTAGAAAAAGAGAATCAAATAGAAATTCCAAGATATAGATTTATAACTCTCTGTGTATTATCTCAAACTGTTTATTACTTTTTTAAAATTTATTTTTGTCATTACACCTTGTCTTACACTTTCCTATTTCTTGCTGTGTTC